GAAAATAACCTTAAGATAAAAGAAATATTCTTCTTATTTCTTGTCGTAGGGTTTTAGACTAAATTTGTCCAAATCCCCAAAAGAAATATTCTATCGCCATTACCGAATTCGGCGCTAGGCTCGTAGTCCTCCGCCTCCTGTATGAAAACAAAGATGTCCGCCGCCGGAATAGAGACGCATGTTTGCCAAACTTCGGGATGTACCGAGGAGGCAAAGCTCCAGTGTCCGACGTGCATCAAATTGGGAATTGATGGATCCTTCTTTTGCTCACAGGTGGTGTTTGGAGAAGTGTAATTATTCGGTTTAAAACGAGTCCCCATTCTCGCTATGAGGTCTCGGTATGTAATCCTCCCCACGATTCGCTCTCCTAAAATGACGTGGGAGGATATGAAGTGAGATTCCGCCTCGTATTTAAAGCAATTCGTAGTTGTGAGATCTCGAGTGTGAAGGTGGACAATGTCCCGAATGAACGAGCCACAGATTTTAGCTTCTTGGTCATGCCGTCTGGTCACATGTCCTGAGCTATATTTATAGGCCTGGAAAACGGGGCTCAATTATGCTGTAGAAGGAAAGAAAAGGTCTGTGTGATTCAGGATGTGTGTCGGGCGTGTTAGGATGTTTATTTGATTTTTTATTTTGAGTTTCTAGTTTCTGGTTGGACTCGGACATGATCTTGTGACCAGTTTTGGTTATTTTTTCGGCTCAAGGCCTAGAGAAGCGATGCTATAGCCTCTGTGCGTTGTGGAAAGGAAAGTAGGTAATTTTTACATTATCGTTGCGTATGTGATTGTGAAGAATTTGGTATGGAAGGATTTCACTCACTTTATAGTTGACATATATGTGGGAATTGTGCCGCAGAACCACCTTGAACATTATAGGCTTTCATGGTAGGGTAGGGCATGAAAGGTACCAGGGAAATTACAGGGTAAACTAACGAGTGATGCGTGGAGATAGAGGGAAATGGACAATGCCGTCTTATAGAGTGCAAGAAATTGAATGAGAAACAACATGTTTGGTATAAATCACTTACACTGACGTACGTAGATAGAGGGAAATGGACACCGCCATTTTATAGAGTGGAAGAAATAGAGTGGGATTAAACATGGTTTAAGCTGCAGTGGCCTCATATTTACAGGCAAATGATGAAAATGGCTGCTGCATATCACTGCTCACAGACGAAGTCCACAACACACAGTTAGAATTCTTAAAGTCCATTTTTGGGACTTGGTCTCTGGATGGTGCATCGCTCTCGGTAACAATTAACCCAACAATAACATAACATAATGAAGGCAATGCCTCATTATTACGACTCCCTATGGGGGTTTATCCTTTTATCCTCCCAACCTCTGTCCATGAAAACAAAGAATTCTCCACATATTCATGGCAGGTTAGAGTGTATGATCTACGTGTGCGGCGAATACAGCAATATGTAACCAACTTGATTGATAGATGATGAGCTAGAAGGATAATTCACACATGCTCTGTTGTGCCATACATACATGATGGATTCCATGTCTTCCAGGGGGTGGGGGAGTAGGGGGTAGCAGCATTATTACTATAGTTGCAGATTCAAGATTTAACAGGAAATACGCTCAAAAAGTTATAGGGAAACTGAAGCCTTTTTTATGAAAAATGTGAAATATAATAAAAATTATTCATGCTCAGGAACTACTCATAGTCTACTAATACAGTTTTCGGAGTATGGTGTTACCTGAAAAGCATTTTCTTTTTCAGAAGAATTCATTATGCTTTTGTGCAAAAAGGTGCACTGAGCATATATATAGTAATAAGAATCAATCTCTCATCAGCCTGTCACTCATAAATTGTAGCAGTACCTGAGCAAAGCAGGCGAGAGGATGTATAGATCCATTTCTTGTTATGAATAACACTTTAGAATTTTGATTAGTCGTCTAATGCAGTCAAAGTGTTAAAGATAGAAATTAATACTTTGGTAACTGATTGCACCAGTTATCTCACATGTGAGACGCCCGGAAAAGAAAACATTCCAGGGTGTCCCGCTAGTGTGATTTAGATTGGAGCTTGCACTCTGATTTGTCGCCTGTGGTGGGCAGCTGGTGGGTTGGTTCCTGAACTGGCCCTTGCGCTGATTTTGAAGCTGCCCGGAAACTATTATTTTCGGTTTGAAAATGTACCAGTGCTAGTTTGGCAAGTGGACGTGATAATGGGATTGTTGATGCACATCAACAGTTTCCCTTGTTTGCACCCAGCTTGTTCAATAGTTTGCGAGCGACATTTGGCACCTAAAAGCTTTTTACAATAGATTTAAAGATTTACCTTCATTATAGTTGCTGTTGCCTAAACTCTACTATATAAATGAAGCCATCTGTTTTTTGGTCCACTACATCCATGGCATGTACGTACATACCACCCGGCCACTAGTGGTTAACAAGTGGTTATTTTTTTTATTATTATTGTTTTTTTTTTTTGCAAAGTCAGGAGACTGTTGATGATTAGTGTGTACTACTCTGCACGTGGACAATTGTCTCACTGACAGTAGGCTGTGTGAGACCTTATTCAGGTGACTGTGACATTGAAATGTGCCAAAGTATCACACATCTCTTATTATTTTCCATGCTATAGTAGCATGGCACGTGCTGCCAGAGGGATAAAGCAATGCATAATATCTAAAGTGTATAAGAAGGAAAATACATTTGCCTTTTAGGCTTATCTTGATACACATGTTATATCATGTAAATAGGATTGGTATTTTTTATAAGCAAGCTATTTTTCTTTTTATATTTCAGACATGCTTCAAAAGTTCATGGGAAGTACATAAATTACTTCACAAGAAGACAAGTAAGTAACCATAGTTTCCTTTGAAATATCATGCTGTGTTTGACTGCTTGCAGAGGTAGCCAGAATCCTGCTATATCTCACCAAGGCTTTTTTAACTTAAAAAATGAGAAGATGGGTTTTTTGTTTGTCACAGGCACATATGCCCTCCCCCTACACAGTTTTTTTTTTTCCTTTCTAAATCTACATAATGAGATTTGAAAACATTAGAATAATATTTCAGCATCCAAGGGGAGTATTTGTACAGTTTCCTTGTTGCTTCACACAAACTTACCTAAATATAGGATGCAGCTTCTTAGAGATAGATTTATGTTTTATGAGCTGAAAATGGTGAGTTTGCTAATTTTGTTGATGTGCTTAGGTAAATGCACAAGTTAAGTTGCATGTGGAAACAGTAATGCATTCCACAGTTGATTGGATATGAAAGATAAGTTTTACACCACAGTGATTCTGTGGATATCTTGTAACTGTTCCATTCTGTTTGGCTCTTCATTTCTTTTGTGTGAAAGAAGTGAATTAGTAATATTTGAATATTATCTTTGGCATTGTTAAATTTTCTAGTTGGTGTGTACTAAGGGTTGATTTCTTTTCTCAGGGTCATCAGATTCCAGTTCTACACAGTACAATCCTTGGCCGTATTACATGTTCACAGGTAAATGTAATGCAAGTTATCAGTTAGTTATATAATTTTCTGTAACTTTCTTCAGTCCAAACCAGAATGAGGAATAACCACTGCTCTACAAATATATGAATAATGTTTTAGTTGATGCATGAAAAATTATCAGTTTTCAGTCTCAAGTTTTATGATAAATAAATCTTAAAAAAAAGAACATAGATTTTTGCTTTGGGATATGAGTACCTTATGGACTTGGTGTTAATTGGTAATTTGCAAATACAATTTTGGGAACTAATAGTTACATTTTTTAAAATTTACAGGCAGTTTACGTCCATATCTAAAAAGTGCCAAAAGAGAAGTTCCAAGAACAATAGGCAGACCAGATTATGCAGACGACCCAAATGGGTTTCCACATTCAGAACAGAAATTGCGAGGTTCCACCAGTATAAAGTGCCTTTCCGATGAAGAAATTGAGGGAATGAGAGTAGCATGCAAGGTAACTATTTTCGTTCAGCTAATGTATATACTCTTGGAAGAACAATATTTAGCTATGTTCTTCAAATAATGTAGTTGAATACCATTCAAAAGATTTTTTAAAGGACATCTCAGGTGCTGGATGGAGAATTTAAATGTGAATAATTATTAGGGAAGTGTCGTATTAATGAATATGAGCTTCATAAGAAGCCAAGTTAACTAAACTTTTTGCAGTACTTAAATCTTATTAGAATATATGAGGAAAAATAATGCCTACATTAATGTAATATTTCCTTTACAGCTTGCACGTGAAGTGTTAGATGAAGGCGTAAAGGTTTCTGGGGTAGGAGTGACAACTGATGAAATTGACAGGGTCATACATGAAGCGGCTATTGACAGAGAATGTTACCCTCGCCTCTTTATCATGGCTTTCCCAAGTCATGTTGCACATCCATCAATGAGGTCATTTGTCATGGAATTCCTGATATGAGGCCATTGCAAAATGGAGATATCTGCAACAGTTAGTATAACTTTTTCTGTCTTAGTGACTCACATTAGATTATTAAGCATAGTGTATTTATTGTATTACCATTATACCTGTTATTAAGTATAATTTTTAGAAAGTGGACACTTTAGGTATGTTCCAAAAAGGATGGCATGAATCAGCTGGGATAATTGTATTTGGGAATGAGTAGGTCCAGAGTTAGAAAATACAATGTTGCAATATAAAAATTTAGATAATATATCTTTCATGATGGGGCCAGAATTTTCTGTGACATAAATATTACAGGACAGTCTACCCTTCTGGCAGGGTGTGTGCTGTGTACAGCCAGACCACCCTTTCGCTCACTAGATCATACATGATTAAAGGGAATACATGCTTTTGATGTATGTTATCTTGCAGAAAACAGAAATTATAAGAACATACAGATAGTATTAGTTAATTAAATTGCACTTTATTTATTATTATTTTTTTAGGATTTAGTGGTCTTATTTATGAATACATTCCATATCCTTAGGCTTTATTTGAAATTTTGGTCTGTGATTTAATTTTTGGACTTCTATGTCTTTAGGAGAGAATTCACTCATACAATTTCCTTGTATATAGAAATATAAGGTTTGATTTCATAACTGTTGATTCTGGTGATGGGCCATAATATTACTTGCCAGTGATGGTTCTAACCTGTTGCAACAATTCACATAACCAATTAGATAGGATTTGTTAGTCTGTTCTGTTAGATTTGTCAAAAACAGATGAATGTGACTTTATCAGAAGGAAAGATCTTATTTTATTATGCTAAAGTTGAAAACTCTTTTTGCAGTTGACGTAACCGTATACCATCGAGATTTCCATGGTGACTTGAATGAAACCTTATTTATTGGTGAAGTAAACAAGACCGCTAAAACCCTTGTTAAGACTACTTGGAGTGCCTTCAGAAGGCAATTGAAATTGGTAAGTACTGAAAAACAAGCAGGGAGGATAAGAGATTTTAGGAGGTACTTGGTCGAGTAGTGATATATCCATGTCTCCTAAACTTTGTCCTATTGATATTATTTATTGGTAGACAAGTAAGCAGCACTTGATTTAAATATTCTTCAGAGCTTGTAAAGATCGAGTCTGATTAGGATATAGTTGAAGGATCATATCTTCTTATTAGCAATGATGAACCAAAGAGAGGAAACCTCACATAGCAGCAATTAACCCAATGTCACTGGAAAAATGGTGCATTCCCTTTAGCAATGCTTGGTTAAATGTTTCTGCAAATAGATGGCTCTCCAATGCTTAGCCATAAAGGAGTCAGTTAGTAGATCTTGCAACCTCACTTTTCCTTGAAGAAGCAGGAAAACTTTTTTTTTTTTTTTTTATGCTATCAATATTGACACTGTTAATTTTGTTATAAACATTATAATAACTATATTGTTACTGATATTGCTAACAGTAGTATTAAATATTAGAAAATATTATCGAAAATCAAGCAAAAGGGAAAACAGGTGAGACAGATAGTTCGTGTAATTGGCTCATTGGTGACAGTACTTTTGGAGCCATCTATATGTAAAAACAATTACTAAATTCAACACACTGGGCAATGGCATGTATGTACGTGCCATGTCCGACGGCTTGGGTTAAGATTACAAATGCAGGGCAGCATACATCCTTGTGGTCTATCATCAAAGACTGCAACTAAATATTCTGATGTGTTATTTTTGTTTTTTCTACAATAATTTTTCTTTCAAGGATGATTTTGAATTGCTATATTTTACACATGTAGAAACTATTCACTGTGTATACAGATCAGGGAGTATGAACTAAAATCACATGAAATTATAGACATTGTTTGGTTGACGTATACCCAATAGCAACGCCACCTGTCTCGGAGAACTACAACGAAAATGTACCGAAAATAAAAGTTAAAATCTTTGTGTATGCTCTCTAATTAACTAACTGATTTCTCTTCAACGTACTGCGCTTCTCCTTTCAGTTGAGCCAGGAGTCAAGTACCGAGACATTGGTGCTGTTATTCAAAAGCATGCCCACTCTCATGGGTTTTCAGTTGTGCGATCTTACTGTGGCCACGGCATCCACCAGCTGTTCCACACAGCACCTTCTGTTCCGCATTATGCTAGTGAGTATTTTTTTCTTTCTTTCTCCTTTTTTTTTTTTTTTTTTTTTTTTTTTTTTTTTTTTTTTTTTTTTTTTTTTTTTTTTTGTACATTTATGATAATACTAATACTAATACTAACAGTTATTATTATTAATTTTAAAAAAAAGTAATAATGATCATGATAATACTACTAATAATGATAATACTAATACTAATAATAATGATAATGATAATAATGATGATAATGTGATAATGATGATGATAATAAGGATGATGATGATGATGATGATCATCATCATCAATCATTATCGATCATTATCATCATCATCAATAATTTTTTTAAATTATTATTATTATTATTTATTATATAATAATATATTTTACTATTATTATTATTATTTTTACAATTATTATTGAAAAAAAAATCTATTATTTTTCTGATGTTTTTCTTTACAATTTCTAAATATTTAAGGTTTGTACTTAGTATATAATAACGAATGTAAATGTAAAACAGGTGCATGAAGAAATCTATAATTAATATTCTCTGAGTGAGAGTGGGATGAAGTGTGTGAGTGAGTGAGAGTGAGAGGGAGATGAAGTGTGTGAGTGAGTGAGTGAGTGAAGTGTGTGAGTGAGTGAGAGGGAGAGGGAGATGAAGTGTGTGAGTGAGTGAGTGAGTGAAGTGTGTGAGTGAGTGAGAGGGAGAGGGAGATGAAGTGTGTGAGTGAGTGAGTGAGTGAAGTGTGTGAGTGAGTGAGAGGGAGATGAAATGTGTTAATGAGAGGGAGATGAAATGTGTTAATGAGAGGGAGAGGAAATGTGTGAGTGAGAATGAGAGGAGGAGTGTGAAGTGAGTGGAAATGAGCAGGTGCAAATATGGGTGGAAGGAAGTAGGCAAGTGTAAGTAAATGTAAGAGAGGGAGTGAGCAGGTGTAAGTGAGAGGGAGAGGACATAGGTAGGTACAAGTATGAAGAGTAATTGAGATTGAGTGGAAGTGAGTGTGAGTGAGAGGAAAGAAGGAAATATGTGTGAGAGTCTGAGGAAGTGAGTGTGTGTTAATGAGTGAGAGAAAGTTAGTTAAGGGTGAGAGAGAGTAGGCAAGTGTGTGGATTACAGGAAATGAACTGAGGATAGGGAGAATGAGGAGTAGCAAGCAAGTGTAAATGAGCATGAGAGGGTAATAAAGTGAGTGAGTGTTAGAAAGTGAGCAGAAGTGAGTGAGTAAGATTGAGAAATTAGCAAATCTGAATAAGGGTGAGTGAGTGGAGAAAGGATGCAAAAGGAAACAAACGAGTGTGCGAGTGAGCGTGAAAGAGAGAATGCATTTGTGAGGGAGGGGCGTATACAGTTTTTTTAATATTACAATATGAACATTTTTCTTTTCAGAAAATAAAGCTGTTGGTGTTATGAAGCCAGGTCATACTTTTACAATTGAACCAATGATATCAGAAGGTATGTCATTCTGGAAAAGCTTTATTTAGGTATTCATTATTAATATAATTTTCAGTCACTATATATGACAAAATGCATTTTCACATCATAAATAAAAAGTATTTCATTTTATGATAAAGGTAGCACTTTCATCAATCACTTTTAACCCACTATTGCAAGATGTCTATTTATGTTATGTTCAGTGAAGCCTGCTACAAGTTGTGTCTATTAACAGTTCTCTACTTCTTTGGCTTGATGGCATTCGTTGTCAGTTAAAGGCATAAAGTTTCTTTTAACCTCATTTTGTTGAAAATTGTTTATGTAGGAGCCAAGTGCATAGAGTGCAAATGTAAGTGCCCTGGTTCCTCATTTTTCACTTGAGTAGGAAAATCCTATTGTGTGCGTGTTACCATACCATTAGATTTACAAAATGCACTGTATGTCATTCTAATGTTAACTGTATTTCTAGGCACTTGAAAGATGAGCAATGGCCAGATGACTGGACAGCAGTAACAGCAGATGGGAAACTTTCTGCCCAATTCGAAGAGACTTTGCTGGTGACTGACATTGGTGTTGAAGTCCTGACTCGACGAAGAGAAAAAAATGGGCAGCCCTATTTCATGGATTGAAGTGTATGATGCTTAGGAGTGAAGCCAAGTTTAGCATTAAGAACATACTTTTATCTTGGATGAACTAATTTAAAAATTGGAGTAAGACCAAGATTGGTTGAATAAAATGACTAAACTTTGAAGATAAAAGTTTAATTTTATATTCCCTATTTTCATGATGTCTTACTTTGTAAGATACAGCCAGTACCGTCAACCACCATGTATGTGATATCCAAGTCCATTATATAGTAGGAAATATTTATAATGATTTTAAAATCTGTACTAGACTGTTAAAATGACAATTGATTATATTATCACGAATTGTTAACATCACAGGTTTTCTGTTATCTCTAATTTGTTCCATAGACATGTGTAGCTTCTTATTTTCATACAAATATTTTGGGTATTTATTTGTTTGAAATAAAGAACAGCCTATTGTACTTTTTTCAACTAACATAACCAATATTGTAAATTAATCAGTTTTATAAAATGTCTCCTTGTAATCTGTTGTTACTGTATTTTGTGGATATTCTTTTAAAGTCATTAATAAAACTAAGGGAGTTTTTTTCATTGTATTTAAATAAACTTATTTATAAGTGAGACATATTAACTTCTGTGAATCCTTCAGAAAGGAAGAATCCATTCGAATGCAACCCGTCCTTCAGACATTACTCTCAACAATATTAATTATAAAAGTAGTATACATCTTATAACATAAACAGGACTGGAATAAAAAGAATATGTACACATTTTTTACCTTGTTCCTAAAAATATTTACACAAACCAATATGAAATATATTAACATGGTACATTCAATTCTGGAAATACTACACAATAGCACAAGATTTTTATTAATACAGATATTCTATGGGGATGACACTTCCTTTTTCTGATTTCGGACCTGAAGGTGTTTCCCATCCCTGTTATTATCATAGATCCAATAATTTAAACCTGTTGCAAATAAGCCCCATGCAAGATAAGGAAGCATGAGATAAGAAGCTGTGACGTTGATGTCTCCAAATGTCCAGATACATGCAGCGATGTTGATGTTAAGAGCTACCAGCTCAATGCAAGCCTGCAATAAGTGGAATAGTAGGACTGCATTAAAATACACAAAAGGAAATCTAAATGTATACCATTAACTACATAAAATCAATGTTTTTAAATGTTGAAGACCGAGACAACTAGAAAGAGATACTAGTTTTGGAATTTAAATACTTGGAACTGAGATCCCATGAAGTTTGGAAATTGTATGATTGTAACAGCATAAATTTGGATAAATGCAAACTGAAACAAAGATTGTTGTAGTCATGTAGTCTTATGCAAAACTTATATGAAATACCTGAAAATCAAGGTTATACATACCCAACCTAACCACTTTTTCCCAAAGAATAAGGGCGTCCATGCCAATTAAGTGCAAGCTGGGATCCATACAGCAAAAGGGGCATGAGTGCTGCACCTTTCCAACCCCCTCCATCACGATAAATTAGATATGAAGCATAGCCCATGCTGCTATACAGGACAGTCCATACTGGGCCAAAAACGTAATTTGGAGGACGCCACCAGGGTTTACGTAGTTTCTGGGGAGTAAAAAGTTGAATATTTGAAGTAAACTGAATATTTTCGTTTTAGATGATCTTAATCTTTATTTTTTTCTTCCCTTACTTATTTGAAAAAGGTTGCAGAGAAAGAAAAATAGTTATATGGATGTGTGTATATACACATATGTATGTAAGTAAGTGCATACACACAAATAGTACCCAGGAAACAACGCTTGATTTTAATTCACATTACAAGACCATGATGTGGTTACATTGCCTTGCACTTAAAGTAAACTTATACCTTATACAGCAAAAATGGCATAGGCAATAATTGATACTTTAAGCATCAACATGCATTAAAAAAATACCAAGATTAGAAACAAAAAATACTGCAAAACACCTACTGTCATATACCAGTTCTTCATATTCCTACTAGTAATGTAACCCCCTATGGCTGCACCAGGGTATGGGGCTGCTATTGGCAGCCACAAGGGCTGGTGATACAAAGGAAAGCATTCCCTGTAAAGAAATTGCCATTATTAGCTTCAATGTACCTACATTTATTTGATAACTTGATATAATGAGAACTCAGAATAACAATCCACAGTCAGATCAGGCAAATATGACTAGGTAACAATCTTCCAGCTGTTTTACTTCATTTACATTCTACAAGCATCTGGCTGACCACCTTACTATATAGCTAATCATGATTTCTTGAATTATAGTTTTCCTGATTGTGATACATTTCCTTTGAATGCCTCCCTGCAAGTCCCATTTGTATTTCAAGTAAAATGAATGAGATTTTCCAAGCTCGATTTTGGGATTGTACTAATGACCTGTATCTACACCTCAATTTCATTGCATTTTCAAAGAACAAAACCAGGTACACAAAACAAAAACTCTTTAACGAAAAAGGAAAAAAATTAATGTAATATGGATAGCCTCGAAATAAATTCAACAAAAAATGTAATTCTAATATGTGTACAGTTACATACTGTAAATAAAAATGACAAGAAAATAAAGAACATTCACCACTGCATATTTATGCATCTATATGTATATGCAGTCCCACTGTTTTCAGTATGCATGTACTAATACAAAATTTCTGAGACACAATACAAGAGCAAATCTTGATCTCATCATAACTTGTATTTGGCAAAAAGTAATTATTTATCAGACTACAGGAAAGCAAAAATTGTTTTTGTACAATTTTGCACAATACATTTTCATTTTCCATTCTGTGATAGTTGCAATGAAATATACCTACAAAACTGTGAGGTAAAAACAAACTTTTATATATTAGAGATATGAAACAACTAACAACTGTGGGTATGTCTCTTACCCCGAACATTCTAAATCAAAATCTCAGGTAAAGCTCCTGCTATTTCAGAAAGAAAGAACAAAGATTCATGTGTTTTATAGGAGTGATTTCACTTTTGTTTTACCCTCCAATGGTTGAACTATTTATTGTGTCCTTCACAGCTATTAAAACTAACAAATAATTAAAAACTATAACAAAATATATCAAGTTAAAATTTGAAATTCAGAGAACCAAGCCTCCAAGGTAAACAGAGATGGAATCAGCAGATCAATTAAAACTATACCACTTTTCATTTATGACACATCTATTGCATATTGCTAATAAAAAAGTTATTTCATGTTATAACATCTTTTATAATGTCAGTGTCAAGTGACAGCAGTGCTTTATGCTTTACCCTATGGCAGAGGTAAAAAAATATTCACTATATTTTAGCAAGAAAAACCTGTGTCTGCTAACTCCTTTGGCACTAAATTGTTTATAAGATTTGAATGAGCAAACCAAGCTCAGCTATTTCGATAACTTGTAGAAAGAGTTACTGCAAGTAGATTTCAAAATTATTGAGGCATCTGGTTGTGTACAGCTTCGGATACAAAATGTAATTACGAATGGTTTGTTATAATGCAAGGCATAAAATTAGTTAATCAAGTAAAATTGAATGTTGATATGGACAAAAATTGTTCACTGCTGGGAGAGATGGTCAGGGGAGTGAGGGCAGTGGTGCATGTGAGGAGAATTTGTCGTAAGTTTGGGAGATCTATAGATTGGTTGGGGTGTAATGTCTCGGTGTAAATGGATGCAGCATGTGAGGAGAATTTGTTGCAAGTTTGGGAGATCTATAGATTGGTTGGGGTGTAATGTCTCGGTGTAAATGGATGCAGCATAATGCAACCATATGAAGGGTTCTATACCAGTTTCGGTGTTTGTGATCTGTAGCGGTTTCTTGCATAGTGATTGTTAATAAGGTGTGTGGAGCCTTTTGCACTGTATACTGTGTATGTGTGGCTGGCAGCGACACTCACCGCAGGGACTGAGAGAGAGAGGGTGAGAGAGGGAGGGAGAGAGGGAGAGGGAGAGGGAGAGGGAGAGGGAGA